CCGTTGGACGTACAGGAAAATTGCATAGGACCTTTCTTGTAGAGGACGACGAGATCTACAATTTCCGTATAAAAGTTTTTCGCTAGCATTATTAGTTTACGAGTTATTTAAAAAAAACTGTTTTTTCGTTTTTCGTCAATAACTCGTAAACTACTAATGCTAGCGAAGAAATTTTAGATGGAAATTGTAGATCTCGTCGTCCCCTACAAGAAAGGTCCTATGCAATTTTCCTGTAGGACCAACGGTTTAGGAGTTATTGAAGAAAAACGAAATTTTTAGTCAAAAGTTTGCCATTTCGACGCTGGGATGGTCGGATTTTGTCAACATCAATAAAATGCCAAATAATCATACGTAACTCGTTAAATATCGAAATTAGAAGAAAAACAACTTTTTTAATAGGCTCGTAAAATTTCTAAAATTTTCTGCAGTGTGTTATTAACGCAATATCTAGTAATTGTTAAAATATGTATGCTTTGTCATTGTTTTTAATGTTAGGATTCATACAAGCTTAAATAGCTATTGAACGAAAGAAATAGCGAGAAAGTTTCTGTCTCGATGGAGAGTCAAAGAAACGCGAGAGGCATGAGAACTGTTCTTCTTATGTTGCAGTGTTTTTACTATTCCATCCAGTGGTTCCGAAGAGCTGTCCCGTCTCCACGACACCGTGCAAAAATGGGTCGGAAGAAGATTCAAATTTCGCGTATCACGGACGAACGGAATCGTCAGGTAAGGAACGTGATTAAAAAAACAAACCGGAGAAATGCGTCGTTAAGAGGGCTGATACTAGAGATAATAATAACGATTTCCAAAGCATTGTTTCGTATTCTAAGTAGCGTTATCTACGCTGATCCGGCGAGAATGCTTTGTAAAATATGCTATTGCGTAAGAATCACTCAACGTATTACCACGAGTGTTGGTAAAGTACTTAAAAAGAAACGCAATAAATACTAATGACGATAAACGGATATTTAGGAAGTATGTAACGAGCGACATATGTTAAATACTGTCAGTTCTAAAAAATCGGGTAAATAGAGAAATTCGGAATCTGTCGTTGTTTTAAACGGAGGACGAACGTTCGGTGTAACGTGAAACGCGAGATGTTGATTTTCCGCCGATCGGTCCGTCGGAAAGTGATACTGGAATCGGTGTCGCCGCATACGACGAACACGATTCGAGCCGGTCGAGGTAAAAACGGCGATAATTGATTCCTGACGATCTCCGGACAGGTGACCTTCAACAAAAGGAAGTTCGGGGTAATGAAGAAGGCGTACGAGCTGTCGGTACTGTGCGACTGCGAGATCGCCCTGATCATCTTCAGCTCGAGTAACAAGCTGTATCAGTATGCCAGCACCGACATGGACAAGGTTCTTCTCAAGTACACCGAGTACAACGAACCCCACGAGTCCCTCACCAACAAGAATATCATCGAGGTGAGCCGATTTCTCCTCGGTAATTTTCAAGTTTCCCCAACAAACTTTACGAACAGTCCGTCGCTATCCCGCGCAGAGAAGATCGACGATCGATCAGCGAAACAGGAGTAGCTCCTCTAAGGTTTTCTCCCTCCACGATCTACGGCAGTGATCTCGGAGTTGGAAATTTTTCACATAATTTGTTGGGGAATTGAAGATACTCAGAGTTTACGTAGCTTCGGACTATCGAACGTTAAGTCTGTCCTCGAGCGAAGAACTCATTTCGACGCGACGACAATATTTTTGAAAATTTCTTTACGAATTTATTTCTTCGGATATTAAATTTTTGACAAACTTTCCGCGATGCCGCCCTTGAGCCACGGTCCTCTGTTTCGGACGACGAGAACGTTTATTCGAGAGCAAAACGAACGTGTTTCACATCCAAACGAGCATCGGTTCCAAAAAACTCGTCTTACGTTCATTTAAATAATATGTACGTCGAAGTACGTGGAAGCCCGTGTCTTTGCGCTTCCAAGGCCGATTAGGCAGGCTCCGAGGTACGGCGTATCGCGTTCGAGGGATCCTGTCGAAGACCCTGCCAGCCGTTTTACAGGGAGACGATCCTTGAAAACGATTATTTACGAGATACATAATTACGCGAGCGCAATAATAATTATATTGTAAGTTCCGCGGTCAGCAAACATAATTTGTTTTCTTATCTGATGTCGTAACAACCGAAACGTCTTATCAGCCTGACTATCTTTCCTTTTATGACCTACGATCAGGGGTCTACGATTTATTTCGTCGAGTATACGCGTCGTGTTTTACGTGAATTACATTTTTACGTGAATTAGACAATTTTTCGTGCGCGATTCAGAAACGAGTTCTTCGGTCGTGCAAATGGAGAATCGCTGATAAACACCAAATAAATATCGCAACGTGATTTCTGCGAGAAATTTGAAGCGCGAATTCCTTAAACGCGAGCATGTCTTACAGACTCGCGTATCGCTGGTATTTACAGTAAATAGCAGTTGCCGCTCGATGCTCTCTCGCGTATCATCATCGGTTATTAACTTTTTCCTAGTTTGTCGACGAACGAAATTACACGCGACCATGTGGCGAATCTACATGCCTGCCTGCTACGAGCCCCCTTTTCCTGCGGGTCTTGTTTTTCAGACGCCTTGTACAGGGTGGTCCATCGGTGTAGCTGGTCACCCTTGGTTTCATTGCTTGAGAAAAAAAACACACACACGCTTCAACGAAAGACTGATGACTCGGTAGAACGAGGACGATACAAGAAATCTTCAATCTGAGGACATTTCTTTCGACGATTTTTTTTGTTTCACGTTATTAAGGTCATTATAGTCCTTCTACGGTGACACGGCGAGGAGCGTATGGATATTGAATATAGTTTCTCGTGTATTTCCTTTTCGACGAGATCATTAGTATCCTCTGTGGTTCTATAAAAATGAAGTTGCAAACATTTTCGCAGACCACCCTGTACACACGCGAATCCACGCTCCTTCTGGGCTTGGAAGTGCACCAGCGATCACTAGAAAAGGTGTGTTCGATCGATCAGAAACAAGTAATTGTGTCGGCGCAAATAATATATGAACTCTCGTTGCAATATTTAAGGTGGCCACGGTAAGAATAAAAGGGAGCATGCAGGTTTAGTTTTCTCGTAAATAGAAATCCTTTCAAAGAGTCGGACAAGCAGATGAACCTCTTAAATTACGTTTACATAAAATATACGAATTCTTCGTGGCCGAAGTGTTCCGTAACGATGGTCGTGTCAACCCATTGTCCCAAAGTGCGGTACCCGATCCCACAATTGTTTCGAGTGTGATAATGGTCAGGGTCGTTCCTGGATCCTCTCTTTAAACATGAATTCATCGTTGAATCGTCGCGTAACACGCGATATCTGTTCTTTCCCTCCCTCTCTCTCTTTCTTTCGCTTCCCGGCTCGTCCACGTGCCCATAAACGCATAATTTGTATCTGCACGGCTCTACCGGTGCGAACGATAAGAGTACACACACACGAATGATCGATGCGGCTGACCAAAAGTTTCGGAGTATCTCGAGTCCTCGCATGAAACGTCGTAAATTCGTCTGATCGGGTCGAATCTCTCGGTAGCCGAAACGTTTGGTCAACGGGCGGGTATTGGATAACTGAGCGAGTGGTGATGATCGGGCCTTGGCGTGTTGTGCGTGTGTGCCAGTGCGTCGCGCGGTGCGTTTAGGCGTTTAAATTAACGTGCATGCGAAAGGTTGAGTGCCCTCGGGCGGTGTGGTCACGTGAACCTGTCTGCTGACACTTGCAGGCACTCAACAAGAAGGAACATAAGGGCGCCATGTCCCCGGAAAGTCCGGAGCCTGACGCGATCGAGTACAATCTCACTCCGCGCACCGAAGCCAAATACACGAAGATCGACGAGGAGTTTCAGCTGATGATGCAGAGGCAGCATAACGGCACTCGGGTAAGTGGTGGTCGTCGATTCGAATCGGTGTTGTGATGTTCAAAGGCCGACTGACGTCGAGAGGACGGACGAACTGAGAGAGGGGATATAAAAAAGAAATGAAAAAGAGAACCGGGTGGTGTTCCGGGCCTGGAGAAAAATTAAAAATATCCGCGGCGGGGCGGCTGGAAAAAATCGTGTGGACATCATCGATACACGACGCGACACACGACGGTCCCCACGGGCGATAGGTATCGTCGATCTTTCGAATTTTCGGTGTACGAGCTTGCCCAGAGTTTGGTTTTGTGGGGGTTTTTCATGGTAAACGATGTGTGGTGTGGTGATGGTCGTAGATATATTTTGTTGGGAGTCGATCGCAAACGTATACATTTTTACTGTTACTCAATTTCGAGTTTATAGCTCGAATTTACGATCGCCGCCTGTCTCACTTTGGGAACGTCTGACTCGGAGTTTTCACATGACTCGGAGCGATTCGTCGGTTCTCCTAGTTACATTTATTAGCTTTCAACGGTCGTCTATCAAGCAATTTGTTAGTGACGCGATTCGATTTAATTCGCTATGCGTTTAATTTATTATCGCGAACGCGAGCCACGAGTTTACAAAACATTTCGGCACAGTTTTACAAACCGGGCCACCCATGGTAGACACGAGTAGTATCCCTGAACAGTTGTTAATCTGTTTTTCGTTTGCGCGGCTTGTTGTGTACGCTGTATTATCGCACCTCATCCGGCAACACTTAATGCGGCAGTCATAATCATTTTGGCAAGCAGCAGATAGATCGTGTTTTCTTCGGCCGAGAGAAATCTCGGTTCTCGTAGATCTAAAACACTTAAATTCGATTGCCGGTAAATTCAATTTGATCCAACGAAAATCTATCAATTTTCTGTTACTTTTTCTTCATTTTTACGTAGAAATTTGTTTATATCTTTGATGGACTTGGTATTCTTCTCTGTTCGTTTTGCGTCTGTATTTTTCACTTTTTCCTTTTAAAAATTGGCAAGGGGATGGACGCGAGGAGTGTCGCAAACGAAGATATCGTTGAGCTTGCCAATTCTACCGATGCGCGTATCGATGAACCGTCGTACTAATACCGACGTCGTATATTTACTGCGATTACAGGCAATGGGACAGTCTAATTACACTCTACCGGTGTCCGTACCAGTGAACAATTATGGGGAATCTCTACTTGGATCTAGTCCTCAAATGGCGCACACCAGCATTTCTCCGAGGCCGTCGTCTTCTGAAACAGATTCAGGTACGCCGCCGGGTTTCCGAGCTCAGACGAGAGATCGATTCCGTTGAATGTCCCATTCCGAAAGCTTGTTGCATCGTTCGTTTTGGTCTCAGTGTATCCACCAGGAGGGATGTTGGAAATGAGCAACGGTTACCCTCCGTCGGCGTCGCCGTTGGGAGGTTCACCTAGTCCAGGTCCCTCGCCGGCGTTAGGAGTCGGAGGAGTAGGCGCAAACAAAGGCGGTAATCCGTCTAGGCATTCGCCGCAACCTCCGCCTCCTCCACCGCCGCCACATCCTCATAGGACTAATCTTCGAGTAGTAATTCCAACACCCCTTACGCAACCTCTCTCCGAAGACACTAGTTACGACGTGAGTAGTGATTTACGAATCATCGAATGAAAGAACGTTTCACGTGATCTGATCTGTTTTCGTTTCGTTTCAGGGTGGCCATGCACAATCCGCGTTGAACACACCAGTAGTAGCGCTCCAAACGCCATCGGTTCCAGCCGGATACTCCAGCTTCGGGCCAACGGATTACTCCTCGGACCTCGGGAGCTTAGCATGGTCTCATCAGAGGTACGTTGATGACTTATCAATGTATTCGGCAGCCACCATGTCCAGCATCAGGTAAATCACATTTCATAATTATTGTCGTGAAAAATAAACTACGCGACCAGTCGTTACGTCTCCCCCGTCCCGACCAAAATTTATCGGCTGCGTTCGAACTTGAACGCGACGCAAGCTTTATGATAATAATACATCTTCTTCGAGAAAAGATTGGAAATTATATCTGCAAAGTTTAATCGTGCTTACAACGATCACACTTGGTCTAACAACGTTTCCTCTATATTTAACCGAGTCGAGGATAAAAATATCGAACGACTGGAGCTTTGTAATTTTTTTTTCCTGTTTAGATATTAGCATGTCACTGATTCGTAATCAGTAGTTTCTCATCGCCGTTTTCTACATCATTTTCATCGAACGAAACTTGATAATCGCGTTCATTGATTCGTACGTGTTCGGGTCAATGACGAACGAAACGTCTCCAAGACTTTGTATCGATTTGATCATGAAAAACCAGAAGAGAGTGTTTTCTAGATCGAAATTGACGTGCTCTCGATCGTCTGATTCCAGTGGTCTTCCTCATCTGGCAGTGTCTAGCAGTACGCCGCCTCCGTCTACGTCGCCGCTACCGGTGAAGATAAAGAGCGAACCGATCAGCCCGCCCCGAGATCCTCACGGCGGGAACAGCGGCTCGAACAGTAGCGGGCCAAGCAACGCGAGCAGTCTTCATCACACGACGCTGAACGTCGGCCCGTCGTCCAGTACCGGGGGGCCGCCGCACCATGTACCTCATCCCGGGCCGCAGTCGTTGAACCTCGTGTCGAGCAGACCGAGCAGTAATCCACCGCCGTCGCACTCCGGGAGCATAACGCCGACCAATCTACCATCGCCGAGCAGCGCGACGGTCGCAGACATTCGGTCGGGCCACTCGAACGCCGGTGGGAACGGTGGGAACAACTCGGACTATGAGAACGGGCCGCTGATGAAGCGAGCCAGGATCACAGAGGGCTGGGCGACTTAATGACCGTCGACGAACGTCGAAGAGAATCGGGAAACGGTTTTGTTTTTCTATTAATCGCTCGATCATCGCGTTTGATACCTCCACGTACAACGGCGTATAGTGCTTTTGTGAGAGAAAGTTCCGGGACTCGAAGTCGAAGACTCTCGTTAATTATTTTACACAACCACGTCCGGCCATGGTTCTTTATTCTTCTCTTATTTTTCTTTCTTTCTTCTCTTTGGCGATTCTCGCGATTGGGTGCGCGCGTGAGATATCACCGAGAACGATCCCTGTGACGGGAACTCTCGATGCCGACTTTGGCTGGACGGGAAGACACATCCACGTTGGAGTTCATCTACACATACACGTTTGTTTATATATTTTAAAAAGTATCTCACACAGACACACGTACACAAACACACACACACACAGACACAGACACGCGCGAACACGTGGAAATAAATACATTTGTTTGACGATTAAATAACGGTGCCATAATGTTGAAGCGTTACACGTATATATATATATGATGAATACATATATATACACATATATATATTTTCATGTATATAATACGAAAGTTGTTTGTATATACGTCATTAACTCATTGTCATTTTCTCCGTGATATATGGCATATTGTGTCTTTGATACTTGTCGCTTAGGCGAAGGGTTATTCCTTTCCGAATTGTGAGAGGAAATAGATGGAAGGTGGTAAATACGTTTAGGAGTGTATGTTCTTGGATGAGTCGTAGATATATATATATATATATATACGAGAACACGGAAGGCATTTCGGGGAGTAAGTGCATCGACGACCGAATTTCTAAGAGCTTGCGAAACATCTAAATGATTTTACCGTTTAGAGATATATATATATATATATAATTGTACTTTGTTATACTTGTTTATCTCTTTTTATTTTTTCTTGTGTGGACGACGGTAGGTACACAAGACCCGCGGCATAATCCGTTAATTGATGACTTTTTTTTTTCTTTACACGATGAAATGCCGAAAGCAATGAACATAATTTCTCTCTTAACTGAATGCCTAGTCAGCGAATAATGATATTCAATTAGTATATAAATTTTAATCTTATAACTTTGTTTTTCTATCGTTCTTTTGCTCCGACAAAAAAAACCGTACTTTTATTTTAAACGATCATCCACGTCTATTAGACTCGCTAAGTATAAACGAGTATGTGGCTTAGATTATAATTTTTCTAGATTTTTATTGAATCATTTTCTTTCGTGTCCGTCGGTTCGATCTTGAACAATAGAATCTTCTTTTTTTCTTAGCGAACTAATTAACGGTCTATGTCCGCTAATAAAAACGAACCGATAATAACTGATCGGCTTCTATACTCAAAACGATTATCGACATTCTGTAGAGAACACACAACCGGAAATCAGTCTATCGATTATTACGAGGTAACAGGCGAGATATATGCATATTACATGTGAAATAAGGATATTACATAGTTGATTATTCCGACGAAAATGAAATGGTATATACACACGAAAACTTGCATATGTATACATATATGCGTTATATACATTTTCCACGAGTATTTTGCACATTTGATATGAAGAAGAAGAAGAAGAACGAGGAAGAGGAGGAGGAAAGGGGGACACTGGAAAGAAGAAACTTCGCAACCCTTCGAAGCGTCTGATACACAACGATTAACGATCAACACGGATCAACAGATTTATTTCGACAGGAAATTTTAATTTTGCCTTGCACAGATTTTTTTAACACGACGTTATTGAACTAGAGATCGAACGTTTGATCAGCGAAAGAACTAATAAATAGAGTTTTCCCTTTTTAATTACTCGTCGAGGCGAAGAGTTGCAATTGTATGATACGAGAAAATTTTCTTTCTAAGTGAAACCGCTTTCGGAATGGTCTATGCTTCGCTCGATCTCAGGGCGTATCCTGACACGTGAGCTGCTCTCAAGAGTCGTATTCGGTACATTACTGTAATTAATGGAATACACAAACGGTATATGAGTAAATAGTGCCTGGCACCATTTGTGGCCCTCTTTCAGGTTGACTTGTCCACGCGATAATCTCGTCGATGCGTTTAGCTATGCAGAGAAATGTGCATCGGGGAGGGAAAGGCATGGAAAGGGACTCATTAGCGTGAAACGATCGACAGACAGAGGCCGATGCGACGGTACCAGTGTTCTTGTTCATTTGTTGTTCATATGACGTTCGGTCGACGAATTAACGACGCGGCAAGTCAGCCTTGGATTATATTGTAACCGAGAAAAAAATTATACGTATGTTAAAGAGAGAAGAGAAAGGAAGAGTTGTATAATCTTCGATATTAATTTGTTTCTTTACTAACGTTACAATTAGAAAACGTATTCTGATGACTGTACGAACAATCGGTGTGCGAAACATAAAAAGAGTATAATATATATATATAGTCACTATCGATTAATCACAAATTTTTAAGATGATCACAAAGTGCAATCTCTTAGCCAACACACTTTTTTATCAAAGAAAAAAAAAGTATAAAGAAATTGTTATTTTTCATAACGAAAAAGTAAGATTTAATGTATTAAAAAAAAAGTATATATTATACACGCATATATATACGTATATATATATATATATGTGTATGTCTCCACTAGTTATTAAACATTTTCCTATTGACGCAAAATTTATTGTATTTGAACTGATATTGTATATCTCTGACACTTGAGTGTTACACGCCTCGAAGTAAAATCCTTGAAAGATAATCTGCGATACGATTGTATCGGGTTCCGCGTCTTAAGACGCTACAGGTGGATCGTTGAATAATATAATTACTCGTTAATTGTATTATTGATCGCTGGATATTGTACGTATGTTTCTCAGCAGGCGTTTCGAAACCGGTGCTTATTATGTGCTTCGTATACTCGGTTGTCCGTAAAGGACACAACCCATGCACAAATATTTTTTTTCACGTGAATAAGAAAAAATGGTTGCACAAGCTGTTAGGTGTATCTCACCGTAAGTTTCAAACGAGACCCGAATACATTTCACGTACAAGTCCTATCAAATTTCGTTGACCGTTCTACGTGAGAACAGATCTAATTTTTAGTGTCGAAAAACAACGTATTGAACTCGTGAGAATCGTTTGTCCTCGTTCGATGCACAAAATCTAATAAAATTCGACGTTCCGTTGCGGCTCGGAAATACTCGTATAAGAATCGCGAAGCATATAATGATCTTTATACATGTAAATAACACCTGTCTGAGAAAAATCGTTTCGACCCGATATCCGCCGGTACTCGCGGTCTGGCAAAAAAGGATTGCGACTCGCTTACCGATCTATTTTACTGTAAGACATCCATGTGAATAAAAAAAAAAAAACAGATAAGAAATACGTAGTTCGTACCTCTTAAGGTAGGGAAACTTGTTAAACGGTGTATGTTAACGACACGATTGTGCGTACCATTTTAATGTATATTTTTAATATGACGATGAACTATGCGTAAGTTACACGTACACGTATATTACACACAAGAGAATCGCGCGTGGAAATTCGATGCTCGGGGGGCACAACCGAGACGTCGACACGAAAGAGAGGAGTACATGCACGGGGTGGGGTTCACCTGTTCGATCGTATCGTTGATCCGTTGTACCGATTCTAACTTGTTGATCAGAGATTCTTTGCTTATTTATTAACTGTTATATATATATATATATATATATAAATATATATATTTGTCAATTTACCGTAACAGTAGAGGAAAGCGGTACCGTCGTCGAGGTGTACCCTTCGAGTTTTGATACTTGTGGTCCTCTAACTCGTCGAGTCAGACCGATTGTTCAATCAGTTTGAACAGGAGAGACGGAAACTTTGAACGCTCTCTTCGAACGTTGATCGAACGGTTGTGCCTCGGCCAGGGGACGAAAGGAGCTGTTCTATTTGAAAATACGTAAAAGGCGTCGGCAATTTTATTGTAGTTGAGAACTCAGAGACTATTATAAAAAAGTTGTTGGGAAAACGCTGTGAAACGAAATGGACCATCGTTTAGAAAATGTTGTCGTATGCAATTTAAATTACGTAGGAAATACGGGAATTAAGAGAGGCAGAAAAGAACACGGAGGGGAGATAAATGAATCCTTGTAGTGGGACGGAATCAGAGCTTTTTCGTACGAGAGCCGAAAGCTTGTCGGATAGGAATCGTTTTTAGTGGCAATTGTTCGAGACTTATTAAGTAACGCGCGGATGCTCGTTTCGATTTTTGCGAACAACACTTACCCTTCCCGACCTCCTTCTTCATCGTCCTTTTCGAAGAATATTATCTCACGGATTTCGAATATTCCGACGTCTAAGCGATGATTATTATTATAGACGATCAGCCGATCGCTTCTAACGAAACGATTTTTTATACGCGTACTCGCGAATATCTGAGTATTCGAAATTCTTTTTCTAAAAAGCTTCGAGTCGGTCGCGTCGGAAAATGATTCCGGAAAATAATTCGAAATTAACTCGATATACTCGAAACGCGACCTCCGATACCTTGATGTTTTTTAGAATAGATGAAGTATATATATACATAAATCTATATATATATATATATATATATATATAACAAAAAGTGTTGTAAATATATAACAGAATTTAGTTAACGAATCGATTTATTAACCTTTCGTGCCTTTGAAACGAATCGTTGTGAACTGTTGGGAACCAACCAATTTTTAATTGATCAGACTTCTTGTGTAATAGGCGATAAGACTATTCTTTTCGAAGTGAATTTTGTTTACCTGTCACTTACGTAAAAAAAAAAAGAAGAGAAAAATAAAAAAAGGTTTAACATGAAGAAGTCTCGTCCCCTGTAAAATACTGTATAGAAGAACAGAATTGATATTTTATAAAGTGTCTGAGCTTAACTGTAAAACACGGTCCTTATCGATAAAGTATAATGATAATAAAAAAAAAAAGAAGGGAGAAGAATCGCAAAGATTCAAGATCTCTACTCTGTCTTTCTACGATCTCGTATCGCCTCGAAGAATCCCTATTTTTCGACTCGTCCCGCGAACGAAAAATCGAATCGAGTATCCGAGAAGACGACGTTGTAATTTTTCAAATCGGAGAACAGGAAACAAACCGACGTACATATATACACATATATTAGAATATGTACTTATTACATGTGTATATGTATATATGTGTATATATATTTATATATCTATAGATACACACGGTTGAGAACGTATTGCGGGGCACGCGTTAAGTATTGTCAGACGGGAAGAAACGTAACGACGAAACTATCGTCGAGCGGATCGAGGAGGATGAGGAGGAGGAGGAGGAAGAGGAGCTGAACTAATCGACTATACGAAGGACACATAGATATATAAAT